ACACAAGTGGATATTATATCAGATATGTTGCATCTGATGTGGGGCAATATCATATTCAATCCCGTGAATGAGGCTGGAAGAATAAAGAATTGAGAGTAACAAATGTAATGAAAACTAGGATGTTGCACGAGTTTAGTCAATACTTGTATAGATGAAGCCCAGAGGCGCATAAATCTGATGACTCAGTTCCTGAGTTGTGCAATTGCGTCAATGTGATCCTCAACCCAATTTATTGTATAATCAATGCAATTTCTCGGTCAAGACACAAATCAAAAGAAAGGAAACCGATCACATCGAAACCGGGTGATGGTTGAATTCGATTGACAAAAGTTATAAACGAGTGACATGAAGAATAGTTCGGGCAGACTAATCGCAATTTTTCATATCTGCTCGGAAAAACGATGGCTCAATTCGGATTGGAGCCGAGTTCACCTGCTAAGAGGCCGTTATTGAACGCCCAAAAAGGAGAGTACATTGCTGATTCAGCCAACAAATTCGAATCGCGTCGGTCGTCCATTTGGCGTTCGGTTTATCTCAGTGGTGGTTAATGAGCAATAAAGCAGGCGGAGAAAAACTATCAGGTGACCTGGTTTTCCAATGAATTTCGTTTCACCTGTCAGAGGAAGTGAATAGCCATCCCGCCCTTGATTAAGATAGGAAGCAATTACTGAGCGCATAAATTGTTTGCCTACTGTGCACGCCACTCTGGATAGCGCCAAATTCGTCGCATTGATCAAGGTTTCCGACGGCTGTCACTCTCGAAATGCATTTGCAAATTCCTTTCTTTTTCCAGATAAAGCTCAACATCGCGTCTCACTCGAGGTCGGTTGTAGCAAATGTTTAGACTCCATTGTATATTGCTTTTTTATATTTATGCATTTTCTGGATGGGTCAAGTCCAAATTCGAATTCATTCAGTCACCGCCGGACATTTGGTATTTGAATGCAATGAAAATCTTCCCTCTGTTGGAAACAGGGATAAGTTAGCTACCTTGGCAGTAGTCGCCAGTGGCTAGAGTGAAGAATGTAAGGGAGGGAACCGGCAAATTCTGTTTGACAGTCAACTTGGTGGACTCCGTGGGAAGACGAATGGTCCCAAATGATCAAATAGAAAATACATATTGAACAAGGACAAAATGAAAGTACAATACCAATGAGCTTTTTCCCGTTTTTACTTCATCGTTCAGCTATTTTTTCTAATCTCTTAAAGAGTATTAGCTAATTCAACGTTGACTGACTGGTATTAGCCATGTCTTTGCAATCTCGTTGGAAGAGTAGATAACTAATCCGTGTGAAAGTCATTTGAGTGCATCCAAGATTCGTGTGGATCCTGCACACCCATTGCACACAAATTTAGATTCCCGCTTGCATATGCATATACTACACGGTACCTTCTCCAGAACGTAATTTGATTAACAAGGAATGGGATTCCGCAGACTTTGTTAGATGTTTCCGGATTTAACATATTTTCCTCCTTTCCTTTCCTCTAACGTGTACATTTGTTTGAAATATAGATTCAACGCCTACAGAAGTCATAAATACACGCCGGGCAGAGCAATTGAAGAACGTTCAACTGGCCACCGGTGACGGCTTCTCCAACAACTGTGATGGTACACGTCCCCTGTAGGGCCTTCTGAGAATACAACCATTTGGAGATACTGGACTACCGCTATACATAATCCGCTTTTCACGTACCTTACTCGAAAGACATGTAGGTGCGTGTTTGAACCGAATTCCAATAAGATTCCGAAACCCGGAATGTCGTTTTATTGTGCAGGAACCATAGTTGTTAATTTCAAAGCCGCCTTAAACCAGTAGTGTTTGTAAAACCTTTATTCATATTTCATGTTTGAAAAAATCGGATAACAAAATGTGACGCGCAACGACTGTTGGTTATCAAGTGTTACCAGCTTAGAGTGTACAGGGCCAAGCTAAACCTGGATGCGACAACGTGTGTTGTTTAGCTAAGTGGTTCACGGATGTACGCTGTGACAACAAGCTCCGAACAACGGTTGAATATCGCTCAGTGAGCTAACAGAACTGACAAAATCTGAACGACGAAAAATACTGTAAGTTAGTCAACCACTACTATTTATGAGGTGAAGTTTAATAAAAAGCAGTTAGGTAGATGACCTCACTCGGTCGAATAAGGGCTGAACGAAGTTATTTCTAAGTACAATGTGAGATCTAGCCTGCCTACCCCCCCCCCCCCCCCCCCCCCCCCCCCCGCCCGCCCGCCCGCCCCTCGTGCTCCCACGCCAGTTCATGCGTGCACGTATAAAGACGAACTGGATCAAAATCATTATCATACAGGCAAACAATATGGAACTGTACAGGCAAATAAACGGTACGATTTCGAGAATGATTCCAGAAAAACAAAAGAACTGCTGACGGGATAGAGAAGAGGTATGGCACACGGAACTATGTTTCATCGCCGGGGGCAGAAGATGAATCGATTTCTGATGTGAGACGTATGTAGCATTTGCGAATAGCATGCCGCTTCACACAGTCTATGGATGCACGATCGCTTGAATCGGATGTGCTGTTTTTCGGCGGGCAAAATGTGTCCAACGCAGGAGCGAATGATTGCGGGCCATCCCCGGTGCACACAAATAGAACCAGGCTGGAATGTGCTTCCAAATTGTGACAGAGGTTTTGGCAAAATTTTGTCACCTTCCGATTACATTTCTATAAATCGGGAAGAATAACATGTCGATGCAACGGTTATTTGTTGCTTGTGATTAGGAGTGACTGAAGGATTCTCGAAAATGATCCAAACGGGTTATGCCCACAATAAAATCAGATAAAATGAGGACTGAGTTGATGAATTTTAAAGTTTGAACGCAGATTGATTGTAGTGTTTTCAGGGATTAGAGGTTCATCTATCACAAAACTCGCGGATAGTGTATTTTCTCTTACGCGATTAAAAGTGTGCAGCATATATGACATTCAAAACTACATGTTTATGATTACATGTATATCGTCCATACGCGGTTGATCCCGGTAACCATAAGGCGTATTTTGATTGGAGAAGTTCCGTCAATGTCATACTTCAACATACTATAAAATAAGTGCTTTATTTCAAATGACCAGCACGGTATTGCGATAATCATGGAATCACAATGCAAAAGCCCGTTTCGCAGCGTCGCGTTCCTTTCGAGGGGATTTATCAAATTCTCACTGTGTCCTATGTACCACACCCAACTATGCACTTGAGGTCAGTCACGGATACACTACGAATCTGACAGAAAGCGTTCAGTGTGCTGAGTGTCGCTGCATCCCAAATATTCAGAGAATTATATTTTCGCAATACCCACGGGCTTAGAGGACTTGAATTCATTAGGTATGGAATACTACTAATATGAGT